GTTTGCACACTACAGAGCCACCGCGACGCTGCAGACTGTGTGTGTTAGACAGACTGAGCGCGAACTGCGCTCTGCACGTTTGAATCAGGGGCGTAGCTAAGTATTTGAGGGACGGTGGCAAATAATACATTAAAAATAAAAAACTAAATTGCAACCTTTTGGTAAATGTATTGTTTTGAGAAGCCTGTGAACATAGTGGCAGGTTGTTTTTACAGGTACAGCTTTTGGATCATCAAAGTTAGGGGGGCAGCTGGGGGGGCAAGGCTCCATATTGGGGGGTCAGCTGCCCCCCCTTGCCCCCCTGTAGATCCGCCCATGTCTACCTCCCATCTGTTCAGTTGCCGCAGTCACTTGGGAGATTGAGGACCTTGTCAAGCAGGCCCAACAGTCTCAGCCTGACCCTGGTACTGGACCCCCCAACAGAGTATTTGTGTCTCTATCCCTTTGTGCTCAAGTAATTAACTGGCTCCACAATTCCAAGTTTTCTGCCCATCCAGGTATCAGTTGAACTGTGGCTCCCATAAGTCAAGAGTTTTGTGACCCTCCTTACTGAAGGACGAGAAGGAGTTTGTTTTGGCCTGCCCGACCTGCGCTCGGAATAAGTCTTCTTATCAGCTCCCTACCGGATTACTTCAACCCTTGCCCTTTCCCAAGAGACCCTGGTCTCACATTGCCATAGACTTCATCACTGGACTTCCCACCTCTAAAGGTATGACCACAATTCTCACCATTATTGACCGTTTCTCTAAGGCCTGCCATTTAGTTCCACTGAGGAAGCTCCCTACAGCTTTGCGAACAGCCCAACTCCATGTCAAGCATGTCTTTCGCCTTCATGGAATTCCTCAAGACATACTCTCTGATCGAGGCCCTCAATTCATCTCACAGGTATGGAAGGGCTTTTGTTTGGCTCTTGGGGCCAAGGTCTCACTCACTTCCGGCTATCATCCCCAGTCTAATGGTCAAGTTGAGCGTATGAATCAGGAGTTGGAGGCCAGCCTCAGACGCTCTCCACTTCCAAGCCCACTGAGTGGAGCAAGTTTCTTCCATGGGTTGAGTATGCCCACAACGCCCATGTTTCAGCTGCCACAGGACTCTCACCTTTCGAGGGCTCCATTGGCTATCAGCCTCCCCTTTTCCCAGCTGAGGAGACTGCCATTGCCATGACATGACAGCTGTGGAGTTAAAAATTGAGCACTGAGAGTTGATATCCAAGGAAGAAAAGGTTTTATTTTACTCTGCAGAGGAGAACAACATGACCAGCTAAATGCAGCTCTCAGTGTTGTTTTGAGGTTGCAGCATCCCAACCCCTGCATAAAAAAGGGGACTCCCCACACATTAACTTTTCCCAAGAGAAACACTTTAGTTCATCAAAGGACAGAGATGACAATTGTTTTCTATTCACACTAGGACGTGAGAATCTTGACTTCCTTTCAAACCTCCTTCCTTTTCTTTCATCTCAACAAGGCTTCTAAGTAATCACTCATTTCAGGAAAAAAGAAAAGACAGACTTCACCTCACTCACAAACAGGTCAAGGAAAATAGCAGTCCACACAGCCCTCGGTAGATCTGCTGAGGAGAACCGTAGGTGGGCCGACCGCAGGAGGAGGGTCGCCCCTACGTTCTCCCCCTGGTCAAAAGGTCTGGCTCTCTACCCGGGACATTCCCCTCAAGGCCATGTCCAAGAAAATGTCTCCACGCTTCATTGGTCCTTATGAGGTGGAGAGGACCATTGGAGCATCCGCTGTCCCTCTTTGTCTCCCCTCTACTCTCAGGATTCACCCCACCTTCCACATTTCCCAAGTTAAGCCTGTTTTTTCCAGCCCCTTGTGCTCACCAGCCTACACGGTCTGCAGGATCATTGATGCCCGTCGCCATGGGTGGCAGTATCTCATGGACTGGGAGGGTTATGGTCCAGAGAATCATCCTGGGTCCCGGGATCCTTTATTTTGGACCCTTCCCTCATTAGAGACTTCCGCCATTCTCAGCCCTCCAGCTCTTCTTGAACGCCGGGTGGCGGTCATTGAGGGGGGGTACTGTTAGGAATCCAGTTTGTGTGGGTTGTTTTTTTTGTTTTTGTCTTTCTCTTCCTCCACCACCAGGTGGTGTCCTTTTCTCGTTTGTCCTCTCGCACACTTGCGGCTGGTCGGTTCATCACTGAGGACTACTTAAGCGGTGGACTGTCACTATGTCGACGCCAGAGTGTTTGCCAGTTTTGGGTACTCTAGCCAAGCTGAGATTAGCTGAGTCTAACTGAGTCTTTGTTTCTTTGAGTTCTAACTGTGTTTTTTGTCTTTGCCTATTGGCGGCAAGCCATCCTGCAAGCTGGATATTTTTGGGCCTTCTACCCCTGGAAGGATTGTTTGAGTCTCACACTGAGCAGGGGATTAACCTCCACAAGTTCTGTTCAAGACCTCCTGGATTCCAAGTGACAGTCTGCTCCATAGTGCCTCAGGAACCAACTTAATCAAGACCTGTCTGCCCTCCATTGAGTTCCTCCCTCTGGTTCACCCACACAAGACTGGATTCTGGGAAGAAAGTTTTCTCAATTCCCGTTTTCCCTGTTTTTTCAAAGTCTCCAAAGTCATCGTTCAAAGTTCCCACGCACCCTGAACTAACCTCTGATACTTCCCTTCCCACTTCCAGTTCCGGTTCACCAGTACCCTGAGTTTCCTGAATCCAACCCCGTTCATCTCCTCCATAGACCTATTAAACTTTTACCCTGGTTTCTCTGAGTGGTTTACTGCATGTGGGTCAGATCCCTTAAGAAAATCATGACAGCACTGAAGCTAAACGAAACTAAGCTACTATATAAACAAAGAACAACCTAAAAACAGTGGGGGATAAAATTATATCACAGTTCAACGTGGATTTTATGTTTTAGAACCATCATTTATCTTGAAGAATTTGGAACACGGTCAAATTAGCTTTTAGTGCATTTGGAATTGGTTCAAACTGATTCACAATGCAAATCCACAAAGTAAATAAAACATAGTTTGGCAAAATAATGTGTCATTAAATGACTTGCTTAATCAGAAATGTATACCTTTTGTTTATTGTTCTTAACCTTCTGGGATTTAGCTAGTACTAAGCAGACATAAGGTATTGATCTTAAATGATTCTTTAGTCATATTTTGGTATTTAAATGTGATGCGAAAATGAGGTTCAAATAAACATTAACATTTTATCTCTGTTAACCCTTAGTGAAAGAAAGCTAGTTTTGCTTCATAAAATAGAGTTTAAAACATGTCAGCATGGTGTACAATGCAGCTCAATTCAGTAGCTTTTCCTGCACAACAGTAAATGCACATGCAATGATCAAAAATCATCGAAGAACAAAAAAGCCAAATTATTCTCTAGAAACTCTTTCCAGCCCTTTCCTTCCTTTTGCCAGACCTCTAACCTTTGCTGATCTCTGTTTTGGAAAAGGCTGAGTTCCAGTGTTCAGCAGCTTATCATGTCACTACACAGCAGGGAGTTTCCTTTTGCTGCAGGTGCTTCACTCCAATTGTCTCTTCAGGCATATGAAAGTTTCCAAAACTCAGAGATAAATTTTATTAAGAAGTTAGCACCCAGTTCAACTTAGCCTTTGATCAGTCTGCAGATTCGGTTCCTTGGCATGTTGATCTCCATGATGGCACTTCTTTGATGTGACTGCCCCAAGATCAGCGCTGAAAGAGTTTATTTTTCTGTGTATGTTGGGGCTCAAATTGGTGGAATTCTCTTTAACAAAATGAAGACACTAGAGACGATTCTCTTCATTTGTCCAAAACCAGACAGGGGACAAAAAGGTTTATTGACAAGTCCAATTCATCATGCTTTCCAAAAATACACAGAAACAGATCTCATCATCGTCACAAGTCTTAAGCTTTTTCCCCAAACCCTCCTCCCTCCTAAGCCGTGTTTATATCTTCTCTGTAACATTGTGTGAATGTATGTGCACGACCAATACTATGTGGAAATCTAACTGGAATGTTTATGTGGTGTTTTGGCATGATAGCCTAAAAAGGAAAAATATGTTATTGCCAAGATTTCCTGGCTCATAAACTGTTATTTCCAGCGTACATGATCTTCTGAGCATTTTACTACCGAACCACAAATAAGACTAAAATATCATTACTTCTGCAGATATACCTTGTAATAAAGCAGCATAGGTATCCCTACTAATTTTTGAAATACCATTTGACTTCAGCATTATCAGCATTTAGTCATTCAGTTCTATTAACTATTTATGTATCTAATTTGGATAAATCATGTGGCAATATAAGCAATGTAATAGATAATTAAAATTTATGGATTAAACTAAAAGGCCAAAGTGTTCTCTAATAGCCCTGTGATGGACTGGGGGCCTGTCCGGGATGCACCCCGCCTCTCGCCCATTGACAGCTAGAGATGGCCACCAGCAGCCCTCGCCACCCCACTTGGGATTAAGCGTGTTAGAATTGGATGGATGGATGGATGGATGGATGGATGGATGGATGGATGGATGGATGGATGGATGGATGGATGGATGGATGTTCTCTAATATTCTCCTTCATATTTTTCCCATTCTTATATTTCATTATTTAAGCCCTCTTCTCTTTTTTTGAGTTTCTCTTTTTAAAGCTGCTCTTTTTCGGCCTTTCTTCGCTGTTATGGACCTCTTCACTTGTCTGTCCCCTTGTGAAGAGAGAGTAAAAATCAGACATTAGCCTTTCACACCCTTCAAGAATTCCCCTGGAAATGCTCTCTATGGGACCTTCTCTCTGATAACTCAGACTCCCATTCTGTGAGATCTCCTGGATCTTGTCCAGCAGTTCATGGACCTGCTCCCTGTCCTCCATCTTCTTGTTGTTGAACACATGGTACTTGCCGCTGCAGTTGCTCAGTAGCTTCTGAAGATTGGTGTCCTCTCTGATGAACTGAGCCATGTCAGTTTCTTCCAGCTTGTCTCCGTAGGTAAACAGCAGCATGGTATGCTTGGAGACATCCGGACTCAGCATCTCTTGCAGCTTCTCCATACTTTCCTCCTCCTCTCTGCTTAACATCCCCAGCTGAATGGTGAGCAGGAAGACGTGAGGACCAGGTGAGCTCAGCTTGACAGCCTTGTTCAGTTGTTTTTTCACCTGCTTTGCAGAAAGCTGACTACTGAAGAGTCCAGGGGTGTCCACCACAGACACTCTACGACCTTCAACAATGCCTTCTACCTTCTTAGATTTCAGAGTCAGAGGGGTCCAGATTAACCGGCATTCAAACTCCTTCTTTCCCAGGATGGTGTTTCCTGCCGAGCTCTTCCCAACTCTCTCCTGACCCACCAGCACCACTCTGAGGTCTGAGCCTGGAAAATACAGATTATATCAGGGGAGGGTGGTAGATAAGATATCCTTTATCCCAGTGTTTGTAAATCCTGCTCCTATTTAGACTCTATCCTGCAGGTCGTATACATGTAGGAGCTTGAACTTCAGGTTAGTGAAGTTAAATAAAAGAAATTTGAAGCTAAAGAAAGCTGCAAACAACTGAAACATGCAAAACAGAGACTTGAGAACGCATCAATGTAAAGCATCAATGTTTTGGCACATGGAGAACGGGCTTTACTTATGCTCTGATTGTAGCTAACAGAGAGGTTAAATGTTGATACTAGTGTGTACAGAACAACCCTTTATGCATGTTTAGATTTTTTGTACATTTATTCATTTGATTAAATTAAATGTGGAACATATAGGGAAAAAAAATAGTTTCTACTTTAGTCCTGATTTTTTCTTAAGGATTTTGGCAGGAAATACAAGTGAAGCTACATGTTAAGGAAAAACTAAATCATATTTAATACACTTAATTTTTCCTGCACTACAAAGGAAACCTTTTTACAAAAGTCTAAAAAAGAAACAAAATCAATAAATAACAGTTCATTACTTACAACATTACTTGATGTTTTTAAAGAGAAAGCAATTAGTATTAACAATTAAAACAAATATAACTAATTAGAAAATGTGGATTATGGTAATGCTTTAGCATAACAGAAGAAACAACATTTCACAGTTTCACATCAATAAATTTAGTTGTTTTCAAATTATGAGCCAATATTTTAATTGGTAAAGAAGCCATGAGAATCATTGAATGATACATTCGACTTTTTTCACGGCCTCTGATATAGCTTCAAATAAATCTTCCACTCCTTTCCCCGCTCCTGCTCCCATTGGCCGACCCTGGAAGCGTCCAATAGCAGCTACCTGTACACCTGCCCGGGTTAATGGGTTCTCTTCCTCTGCTCGTCTTCTTGCTTCCTCAAATCCCATACCTGGATTTTCTGCCAGAAGCCGCTGAGTTTCTTCTTTTATTGGTTTCTCTGCTTCTTCAAACATTTCATTGCTGAAACACCGTCCATCATTTCTCTGAACCATTGTGTTAATTTTTGACAGTAGCTGCTTTACTTGCTCTGGATCTCCATCCCTGTTGTTAAGGACATGGTATCCTCCCAGGCACTGATTGACAAACCTCATCAGAAATGGATTTCCCTCTATTATTTCTTCTATGGGACGTTCTTCTGCTTCCAGATCATCTCCACGGGTGAACAAAGCCATTGTGAAACGTGTTGCTTGGTCTCCAAACATCTGCTGAATGATATTTACAGTTTCCTGTTCTTCTTTGGTGAATCTCCCTGGCTGGATCACGACCATGAACACATGAGGACCAGGAGAAGCTAATGACATGCATCTAGTAATCTCTGTTTTCACCCCCTGTTCAGTTTTACTGGTATCAAAAAGGCCTGGAGTATCAATTACAGCCAGAGTTTGAGCACCAAACTGTCCTACTTCCTTCTGACACTCTGTTGTCAGTGAAGAAGTTGACAGCTTCGACTTGAATACTTTTTTTCCTAAGAGAGTGTTTCCTGTTGCACTCTTTCCAACTCCAGTTTTTCCAACAAGTACAATCCGAAGATGTGGCTCCTCTGAACCTGTTGGGAAATGTCAGAAATGTCTTATTTTGTTATTTTCAAGCTCTGGATCAATTTTACATCGATTTTTTTTACATTACATAACGATTTCCAATCCAGTCCATTGGTAGTAATCTATCTGTCTGTCTGCCTGTCTGTCTGTCTCTGAAGTGGTACATATACCTCAGCCTAACCACTAAAGGCTGATATATACTCAGAAACAAGGACGTCGGCGTGTGCGTCGCAGTGAATGCAAATGTGCCTCCGCCCCTGCCGCAGAGAGGAGTCCTCTGATTGGTCAGATCTTCATCCGCTCTACGCTATGCGTATTTCCTGTTTGGTACCTTACCGGCATGGTTTGTTTGTCTGGCCGCCATTGTGGAAAACGACTCATGAAGTTGGAGCAGCTAGAGGAGCGAGGTGCGCGAGAACGCTGGGACCCTTTTTTCACCTGGACCCCCCCCCCTTTTTAGCCCTCATGTCCCTCCGTTATCGCACAAACCTGCCCTCACTTCCTCTTCGCCTCGGCCGTATCTAGACCCACAGCTAGTTCCTGATTGGCCCTCTGGCGTTGTGGCGTGGAATAACAGAGCGAAAAGCTCACTGTGACACACTGCTGCGGGAGGAGAACCAGGCTTTATGCCTTTGCCTTGATGAAGTTTAGCAAAGTTGAAGTAGAGTTTTTTTCTTTTCTAAAGAAATTGTGATACAAATAAGCAGTCTAATTTTAAAAAGAAATGACGATATTTTTTAAATGTTTTCTGGTCGTGTGTATATGCTCTTCCTAATGGTTTTATTTCCCATTTAAATGATTCTATGTAGATCCAAAACAAAGGTAAAAAAAAAACAGTTCACCGTACTTTGTTTCCGAGACGTTTCTCTGCAGTCCAGGAAGCTTTTTCAATTCAAACAGTCAGAAACAGCCTAGAGTTCCAGGCGTTATACAGCAGCCCAACAAAGCCTTTAAAAACATGCAAATTGAAATGATCGAACGGGTCCACCACTTTGGAATGGGGATCGTTTGGCTTCTTTTGTTAGCCTGCAATGCCCCATACTTGTTTATGTTCTATATAGATGTCAAATTGTTAAAAAGACAAAACAATTGATCCTCGTGAGACAATGTTTCTTCTTGGGGTCAGGGTTATGTTTTGGACCAAGGTGTGAATTAAGTTTAGGTTAGGTTTAGGGGGGCGTTGAGTGGCTGTATGTGTTGCCATTACTGTTCTTACCTTTGGGATGATTTCCCGAGAATGCAGTACATTTTGAGGACTTATCGGTACTTGTGGGGACCAACAAGTGGTCGCCGTTAGAAAGGAAAGGTTATCTTTGGATAAGGGTTTAAGTTCATTACTAATTAATTAAGTTTAGGTTAGGTTCACATAAGGGTCTTGGTTAGGCCGTAGAAGTGAGTGGGGAATGAGTGCAAATTAATAGAAAGTCCCCAAAAGGATAGAATGACACAAAATGTGTGTGTCTGTGTGGGGCCAAATGCCTGGACCCCACATTGGGAATTGTTGTTTTTGGGTCAGGGGTCCCAATTAGGAATAAGGGGTGAATCATTTAACTAATGATAATTTAATTAGTTTTACCCCTTGATTTTATTGACCTATCAATTAACTACAACTTCCAGTTTTAGGTATTTAATATATTCATAATCTTCTGGTAAACTTGCAAAACATCTGGAAACTGTTCTGGGAATCCCGGCTTCTGCAAGCCTGAGGCATTTCCATTTTACCGTCACTTAATGATTCATCACTAAATCGTCACAAGCATGAAGCTGTTACTGTTCATCATTTAGGAGGTAAAAAAAACTTTACATGAAAATGAGGTCATAAAAAGTTCCATCCGGTTTTTCAGGTTCCGATCATGCATTTTTTCTTTAAATGTGTTCTGGGAAAACCATATAAAGTAAGCCAAAAAAAAAAAAAACATTCCCAGCAATATCTTCATGAACTAAATAGATAAATTACTTTCAAATAACAGCAAAACAATAAAACTAAAAGCCAAAAACCCTGGTCTCTGTTTAGGATGGCTACAAACAGGGTAAACATGAAGCCTGACATGTTTGAAACAGGACTTATGATGAGTACTGAAATTATCTTTTCACGTTAAGCATTTTGTGCCTTAACTCCTCTGCAAATAATGCAAATAATGCAAACAATGAACCCTCACACCAGAAACACCAAAACTAGTCAGTTCCTCATCAGATATTCTGTTTTTTTGTTTTTTAGGAGCCTGCTCTGAGGATCCCTGATTCAAACATTAGAAGTATAAGATTTAATTTAAGGAAAACTGTTCATGACTAAAATTATGACATTTTGAGGAACAAACATATAACTCAAAAGATAACTAAATTAACGTTAGAAAATTGAAGCTCTACTTACTAGCCATCTTTGTCTTTGCAACTTGTAGATAATTGTGATCTCTTTATCAGTGATGGTGATTTAAGGAGAGAGCTGCACTTACACACCTCCCCTTAGAGAGGTTACATGTCTAAAGAGCAATGCCAAGCCAGGTTTTTTGGTTTTGTGTTTTTTTTTTTGGATGATGACATAACATGCAAAAATGTCCTTTAGTTTATTTATGGTAACCACTTTGTTAGACAGCTGCATTCCTCCACCATCCTCAGGAATTCAGCTTTAAATTTACTTCCTCTCCAACTAAGTGGAAGGATTTTTCTTGTGGTAGATTAAATATGGGGTTAAATTTTTAAATATTAATATGTAAACTACCTCTAATCTAGATTAAAGAATCAAAAAAGGCTGCAGAAAAGTAATGCGCCGGTTACCTAAACTGGGA